CCTGCATATGCAAGTCTGTACATAGTAGAATACTGTAAACTGCATATAATGAGATATTTATATATAGTAGGACCAACTGATTTGCACATAAGAGTGTTAAAATTCGCAAAACACCTGACCAGCTGAAAAACTGAAATTTGGTACACATAGTCAAAAGCTCTCTTAAGATGCTCAGCCTAACCACAGGAGGGCAAAAAGCGTGGAAGGGGACAGGGCTCCACATGCCAGCAGCTCCACCTGAAACATCCACAAGCGCGCCCCCAGCCCGGCCTCAGCCAGTGCTGACCTCTTCATGAAAGTCTGAAGTGGACTTTGGCCAAATGCACTCAAAAGCTCTCTTCAAACCTTTGCATGAAGGACAACAGTGGAGGCACCGGCCAGTCAGTGTCCAGGCATGTTAGGGCAGGGATGTCATCCATGGCCCCGCTTCCTTGCACGGCCAAGTTAAAATTTAAGGAGGGCTGCAGCCATCTTGACTGCAAGGGAAGTCTGAACGTGGGACCATATACTGTATAGCAATCAACAAAAAAGTATAAATTATAAACACGGGGTGTGTTTTATCTATGCACAATTGTATAAGCAAGGAACTAAACTATTATTTTTTTCAAAAAGATCAAAACTGAGATTAAGCTTTCTTCACAACACATTACAAGCCAAAGCACTCAAGACAAGCCTCTTCTGTTCTGCATTCACACCTCTTGTCTAAAGTCGCAGTCACAAATGTATATCTGAAAATGAGACTTCCCATTTCTCATGTTTTGGCAATCCTTGGATTGGGAAGCGATATTTCCTAGTGGCATGTTTCTACCTCAAATCTGCAAAATACCATGTAACTTGGAAGCTTTCAACATCATTCATTTTGTGCTTTCAAATTAAGTGTGTAATAAAAACCATTCCATTTCCCATCTTTTTGTTAGGCAGAATCTGTACTGATAATCAGATTTAAACCTCAAAACTTTTGCTTAGCTTCTTTATCATAACTTTCTTCAGAAATCCACTATCACCTAGCAAATATTTCAAGGGTTGTTGTTTTTTAATATAAAAAAAAGTTTGCTACAAATGGAAAACACCTTAATATTCTGTCTGCAAGCTAGGCAATGTTTTAAAAGCAACAAAACATGCAAACACAAATATGGGACACGGGGTTAAATAAAAAAGACTGGTGTTTTTTCAACCAAATTTTAGCTGCGGAAATAATGCCTGTAGCTTATAAACATTGCCATATTCTATCTGTTATGGCATGCAGTGTCTATTGCTGCAAGCAGTGATTCCTTTCTGATTAACAGATTTAGAGTGGAGTCTTGACAATGCTGGCATGATCTGTGCCAACAGGTGTGTTGTTCATTAAGCTGAAGATATATAATTCTACTATTTATTTTCAACTAAGGAGCCTGAGGCATCCACTCATCACCTTATCTTGTTCCAACCAATACTGATTACTGTCATTAAGGACTATGGAAACTGAGTAATTAAGGGGAAGAAGTTCCAAAACGAAATCTTCCCCCGTTTCGTCATCCAGTTCTTCTCAGCTACTGATGGCAATGTGGTGCAAAACTATCCTCTGTACATGGCCGAACTCTGACCACTTACATGCTGGTAGCCTCTTTCCAAGGGCAACCAGAAAGAAAACACACACAAGAGCTGAAAACTTAAGAACTGCAGCCTGTGTGAAGTTGATCAAACTCACAGAAGTCTTTGCTGCAAACCCCCAGGCTTCCTACCTTCTGTGGCTTCTTCTGCAGAGGAATTGTGGCAGATGCAGTTTGTCATGTAAGGTCTGCAGAGCTAAGAAAGATACAGGAGCCTAGCCACCCTAATTGTTCCCCCACATGTCTGTACTTCTTCTGGTTCACCCTATTCCATGATGAAACAGACCCTCTATGAAGAAGACACCTAGTATACCTCCAGTTTCCATTTCTACAGCTCAGAGATGCTGAAACAGCAGGAGATCACAGCACCTACAAATGGAACAGAGGGAGCTGACAAATTCTCTAGTGACTCCCGAGCTGTGCAAGAGGAGGCTGCTCCTCCATAGAGGTCCAGGCACCGAGGATGGATGCTTGTTCACCAAGGTACCCCAGTCTGCAGGTGCTCTGGGTGCCTTGAACTCCTGAATCAGCCTTTTGACGGGACAACATTGAGCTTCCCCTGTGAGCCTTCAGCTGTTCTATGAGAAACAGAGTGATTCTGATTTGCAGATTCAGAAATGCTGCAGCAAGCAGAAGATGGCCACTTTGCCTTGCACATAAGTTTCCCAAATGCATTTGACAGCCCAATATTAGAAACAGAATACAGGGCAAGTCAGAATTCTGGTAAAATCCTGCCACATGACAGTTCAAGGTAAAAAGAAAGATAACTAGAAGGAAGAGGCCCTGCTTTTATACCCCCCTAAAAAAAATGGAGATGATGATAGGTGATAGATGATAGATAGATAGATAGATGATAGATAGATAGATGATAGATAGATAGATAGATAGATAGATGATAGATAGATAGATAGATAGATAGATAGATAGATGATAGATGATAGATAGATAGATAGATGATAGATAGATAGATGATAGACAGATAGATAGATAGATACATCTGCTCTGCCAGGATGCCTTAACCCAAAAAAGTAGCTACCTGCTCCCTGCTTCCACCCAGCAGAAGAACTCGGCTACAGACACTGGAGTTTTGTTTCTGATGTTTAACTGCAAGATTCTCTGTTAACAAGCACGGTTGTGATTGCACAGGCAACCACTTTTGAGGTCAGGCAAGTTGAATTATTGAGGCAGTCTTAACAAAACTTCCTTGTATGCTAACCGCAAACTTATTAAGCATCAGCAGGAAAAATATGTGGCAGTACCAGAGGAAACTGGAAAAGAGCCCTGGCTTTCCACCCCATGGCACGCACGCTCCAAAAGAAAAAAGAAAAAGAGCAAGGGAGGAAGACACTTCCTATAATGCCCTGAGCAATATTCCATATCAAGGGAGAGAAAAAACCTTGGCAGGCACTATCATGAAAAGCATTCATAAGGGGACAAATGGCCTATGAAATGCTAAATTGTGTGGGACTAGATGTTGGTAAAGAAAACAAAGAAAAGCGAAAGTGGTTCTGAGAGGAGTGGAGTATGGAAGAAGTCAAAAAGTCCTCCAGGAGGGCCCATAGCTTGGGGGCTTGACCACATACCTTTTTGGACAAGGTTGTAGGCTGAGAAGCTGCCTTTTACGGCGTCAGAACCTCAACCCACCTTGACCCAGCACTGTCCATTTTGACTAGAAGTGGCTCTCCAAAGTCTCAAGCAGAGCACTGCAGCCCAACAGATTCCAAAGACTGAAATTCAAGATGATCTTCATGAATTATAAGATTCCAGAGTACGTGGCAGCCTCACAGCTTCAGGGGCTCCTGGACAGGGCAGATTTTCCATACCCTTTTCAATCTGGCTTCTGGTCTGGTTATGGGATGGAGACTGCCTTAGTCACCCTAGCAGACAATCTGTGCTGGCAAGTGGATAAGGGGAGTACATTCTTGTTGCTTCCCCTTCATCTTGTAGCCACTTTCCATATTTCTGGATTACTGTGCTAAGAGTAGAATAAGGTGGGGTGGAATGTGGTGCACTGGTTTTGCAGTTAAGTCTTCTGGTCTTTCTTAGCAGGTAGATTTTAGAAGGTGCTGTTGGGGGGCTTTGGCTTGCAGGCTCCTGCAGGGTTCTCTCTGTATAAAGCTGCTGCAAGTCACCTGGCTGTTGGGATGGAGTGTGGTGCTAACACCCATCTCTCTCCCCCTATGAAGTGAAGGCAGAGCAATTCCTGCTGCAAAAGATCTTAAAGCAGGAGCTGTGCAAACAGGAAGTGGCAGCCGCGATGAGATGAGAATCAATAAAAGAAGAACTCTTGCTTTGGCAAGGCTGCAAGAAGAGGCAACAGACCAATGAGAAGAAGAGACAAGGGGAAGCAGCAGAGGTGCAAGGAGCTGAAAAGAGAGAGCAGATGAAGAAGGGAAAGGAAGGAAGGAGGATTGGGGAGAAAAGGGGGGAAAGTGAACTCTTATCAACTGAAAGACCTAAGACAGAAACTACCAGCAACTGTTAACTGTTTAAGACATTGACTGCTGTCAACTAGGCAGTAGTTTGGGGTTGGGTTGTTGTGAAGGGTTTAAACTGCCCATTGTTATAATTGTTCATTTACTGATGGCATTAAGTAATCCATTCATTTTATGAGATGAAGAAGTATTTTTTTACATCCTTTGACTCCTGAGTGATTTCCATCTACGCTGCCCACATCCTAACAGCAAAACCAGCAAGCATTACAACAGCAGAAGTTCTGAATCAGTGCATGAACCGGAAGCTGAAATTTAATCCAGAACGGTGTTAGCTCTGTTGACTGAGAAGTCGGTTGACCCAGGAAAAGGGACACATTCTGCACTGCTCCTGTGCTTTGGAACTTCCTGGCTATTAAGGTTATGCAGACATCTCAGCCATAATGTTTTAGACACCTGTCAGCAAGCCAACCCACATATAATTTAGTGATAAATACTGGTTTTTAAAGTTTTAATGTATTATTACTGATAATGATTTTATTTTGTTTCATTTATATCATTTAGGGGGTTTAAGCATGTTATAATATTTCCCCAAAATAAATAAATACTCGACAGGGTTACATTCCCCCTTAGCAGTTAGGCTCACAGCTTAGGTGTGCTCTTGGACAAGCAGTTTCTTGATACTCCAGGTGGCAGCTGTGGCTGCAGAACACCTGTTTTAGAAGTTTAGACTGCTTCCTGGTTCCTGCAATCCACACATTAGTCATACTCACACAGGACTATTGTAATGCGCTCTATATGAGGCTGCCTTTGAAATGCACTCCAAAAGTGCAATTAGTACACACAGCAGTCACCAATTTATTAACTGCATATATTAACTTTGCACAAATTACAGTGGCTCCTATTTGTCTCCCAGGCCCAGCCCAGAAGGCTGATGTTGACCATTAAAGCCCTAAATAGCCTCCTCACAATTCCTGAAGGAAGGTTATAGCTCAGTGGCAGAGCACATCCTTTACATGCAAAAGGTCGCAGGTTGAATCCCTGGTGTCTCCAGGAAGGACTGGAATGAAAGACCTGAATGAAACCATGGAGAGCCATTGCCCGTCAATGTTGAGAGTACTCAGCTAGGAGGAATATATGCTCCTATATTGACATTAAGATCTTTCTTGGAAGCTCTGCTCCATTTGCCCTCTTCATCCGACTTATGCTAGGTAGCTACATAAGGCAGGGCCTTCTTAGCAGTGGTTCCAAAGTTACAGAACTCGCTTCTTAAGACATATACACCAGGTTCCTTCCCTGCTATCATTCAGGCCGTTGGCCAAATCAGAACTTGCAGGTTCTGTGATTAATCTGGTTTTGTTCTGCATTTCCTACTGTTGTTGAGATTTATGGTGTTTTAAAGTGTTGCTGCCAGGGTGGATTTGATTTAAATCTAATCGATTTAAATCACGATTTAAATCACTAGTCAGTAAGCCTTGATTTAAATCATTTTTTTACCGAAAGACTCATTCTTGCTGGTTAATATAAAATAATAATATTTACAACCAGATGAAGGTTTCATTTTGGGATTCATAAATTTTCAGAGTAGTTTTTACAATTCTATCAAAAATTACTGATTTGGTTATACTATTAGAAATACATAGTCAGATAATTATGAAATTATTGTGAGGTTTAATAAGTTAACTGTTTATATGTGGACAACTTTTCTGCCGTACTTTACTGGAAGAAGAAAAATAATCACTTCCTTAATAACAATTTAAACCATTTATTTAACTAAAACAATAAAATTATAGCATATGTATCCATGTTTGTTAACTGATGCGGTTAAACAATTAAAAAAAAAAGACTGAGTTTTAGCACACATGAAAAACTTTAAACAAATCCTTATTTCCTAATGAACAGCCTTTGGACTATAATGTAACTTAAATAGAAAACTATCTTTGGAAGATTTTCCCTCCAAAAGTATTTTATTTTAAAAATCCAATTTAGATAAAAAAATCTGATTTTAATTTTTAAAAAATATACTTATTTATTTATTTATTTATTTATTTATTTTAAAAATCATTGATTTTTATCCACCCTGGTTGCTGCTAATTTTTATAATGTTTGGATAATTATCTAACTATTTCGTTTTGAATTTTAACCACTGCTAGCCAGTGCAATTTAACCCACTGTAACCCAGAATGGTCAACATTAACATGAACAAAATGTTTTCTGCTAAGTGCTGCTAAAAATACTTTTATTTTACATATGAAGAAAACATGATGTGTGTTAGATATTCTGCATTCATCCGAGAGCCCCATGTAGACAATCTTAAGGAAGTGAGTTTATCTGTGCTAATAAATACAATTAGTCTTTGACAGACAAGCCAAAGGAAAACTTTAATCCTCACACCAGTGTAAAAGTAAGAGATTGAAGTGTGGATCTCAGTACACAAATGCGTTAAAATTTATCTTGGAATAAGGATGCTATACAAGAGTCTTGTTAACACTTCATTGAGAAAGATACCCAAGGCATTTAAAAAGAATACAAAGCATTCCCTAGGAAGGAGTCTCGTGTTTTTCACACCCAGGACTCACACTTACCCCAAGCTGCAACAGCCAGGGGCCTTTTTTTTTGGCAATATATTCCACCCTCTCTGCCACACTTCACCTTATTTTTCTATTTTCCTCACTTCTATCTCTCTCTTACACTCATTCGTGTGAACACATACAGAGAAAACAGCTGAAGGAAGGAAGGAAGGAAGGAAGGAAGGAAGGAAGGAAGGAATTGTGATTGTACCCAAAGGAATTGTGATTGTTCCAACAGGTTGGACCATGGGTTTTGATTCTCTCAGATGAAGACTGCTCTGGGCTCCTTGGAAGGATACAATATGAAATAACTACCTTAGTTTGCCTTTTACATGTCAAAGAAGTTTGCCTTTTACATGTCAAAAGACACAATATGCTACGGCATGTCATTTTAGGGGGTGAAAAATTCTTCAGTGAGGGGGTCTTAAAAATATGCTTTGGGTATGAGGAATTCATATCTGCTATTACTTTTTGTGACTGGACAACATTTAGGTTGGTAAGTCTACATTTGATGAAAAAGCACATAACTGCTTTCTGAAAATAAAAGAATTCTAATTTTACCTTTGGAAAATGTCAGGTAATGAGGACTACATGGAATTGGCGGAAATGACTGGCAGAATCCGAGACCAGGGAGAAGAGTTGGTGGAAGAAGATTGGAAGAAATTTAAAGACTATCTACAGAAATATTGCAAAATTAATGAATGTTAGAATGATGTTAGAATGAAGTTAGGTGGTTTAAGCAGTAATGCTATAAAGGTGTATGTAAAAATGGATTGATAACAGGTGAAAATTTAAAGTTATAGTATATTAAGTTAAAGGATTAAGAGAAAATAAAGAGGGAAAGAAATTGCTGAATTAACTAATTGAATTGGAATACAAAAAAGGGAGGTATGAGGAAGTCAGGGAAACAAGGATATGAATGTAAGGTATGGAAAGATTGATCTATTTTTTTAAGTGTTTTTTATTCGTTTATTCTGTATTTTGTATTTTTCTTGTATTTTTACTTCTGTCTTTTGTTTTTGCTTTTCTTGTTTTTATGTAACTCTTTTTTCTGAAATTTTAATAAATATCATTTTAAAAAAAAAAGGAAAATGTCAGGTAATGCTTGGCAATCATTTTTAATTATTTCTATGCAATTTTACATATGTTTTACTTACCAAGCAATACAATTGAACCAAAATATATTTTGAATTCCCAAGCCATGTTACACCTTTTTAGCACCCCTCATTTTTGGAATTTGAAAGCTAAAAAAATTCAACACACCCAAACAGTACACTGTTTTACCATACTGAAGAAGAAAGTGAGGACTGAGTTTTGTCTTTAAGAAATTCTTGTTGGAAACCTCCTTAAGACCAGGATGACAAGGTACACAGAAGAAAGTAGCTCCTATATCTTTAACGCTTCCACAAAGAAAGCAGAAATGCCAGGTATTGTCTCCCCATTAGCTACACTTTCTACTCTTCTGCACAACTGTTAAAAGGTACAGAAATTCAGACTTCCATGTGGTGACATTGCTACAACCTGGGGATAGAGCCAAACTTGAAAAAAAAACCTGATTCTTTCACTTTGCTGCTTTGAGAAGCATTACAAGATTGTTACTGAAAATTATTTAATACACCAGGTATATTATTACTTTAGATTAGATAGATAGATAGATGATAGATAGATAGATAACAAAATAGGAAAGCTTGTGCTAAATGTTCAAATAAGTCTTACTAAGAAATGGAGAGCTAAGTAACTCAAGATTTACATTGGCTCTAGACTGAGTTTGTTCCACTGAAATCAGTAGTCTTGACTGCAGTCATGACTCAGTTTTCACACTTAGGTCTCACTGTGATCGGGGTCTGGATCCAACTCATTATTTCTGGCAGCAGCCAGTTGCCCATTTAGCATGTCGAATTTGGCACATGGTTGAACATGATGCCAGAATTGCACCTCATAGTTTGTGTCTAAGTGTGCACAGTCCACCTGGTGTCAAACTCTGAGGAAAATCTGTACTCAAATATTGTTCTGCAAATACAACAATTAAAGTCCCATTACAATGATAAAGAATGGCTGTTGGGGGGGGGCTCAGCCTGGGGTAACAAAAATCAGTGGCCTCTCTGTATGTTTATAAAGTGTTTGAATAAGCCATGTTGTTTGAATTATCTAATCACTCCATTATGCATCACCAGAGGCTACTAATTCTCACTCCATGCATAATCAGGGGGAGATAAAGGCAAGCCCTTGAGATAACAATCAACACTTTCCAATCACTAAGCACAAAAGGATCTTAGCTGGTACTTAGTACATGTGGGCTACAAAAGTATTGAAACTCGAAGCCTCATCTTCCTCCCCACCCTCCCTCTTTCCAAAGCATTTGCAGGAAAAATTAATGAAAGGGTACAAAATGTTTTTTAAAAAATTATGAACATTGTAAAAAAAACCAATCTCACCGAAATGACAGTCGATATGCTCAGTTGTACTTAAAATAAAATGTTATGTTTTACAGCTGTCACTGAGAGGCTTATCTCCCCCCTCCCCTCCCCTCCTTCCAGGAATGTAATAATTTTGAGCAAAGGGCTCTATGAAGGATCTGGTAATTCCTTCCTCCCATTAGGTCTTTGTTTTGTTTTATGCAGTCTTCTAATTTAAGGAATGATGAATAACAGTCTTTGAATTCCTGAACCCAAGAGATTAGGCTATGGTGGAATATACAGGGAACATCAGGTCAAGTTCCAGAGAGATAGTCATGCTCATCTGTTGCAGCAAACACAACACCGTACATTTCAAGCACACTGCCATCATCATCCCAATGAATGCAGGAAACTTTCATTTACCCCTCACAAGTACAATCTCTTAATAAACTACAGCTCCCAGGATTTTTTAAAGGAGGAAATGTGCTTTAATGTGTCTGGATGCTGCCAGAGAGCCTGGTAACACCTTAACAAACAGATTTATGGTAGAATAAGCACCCATGGGTTGTGGCCTACTTACCTAGATGCAGAAAAGAAGTTTATGCCTTAACAAATCTGTTTAGTCTTCAAGGTGCCTCGAGAGTTCATAGAATCATAGAATCATAGAGTTGGAAGAGACCACAAGGGCCATCGAGTCCAACCCCCTGCCAAGCAGTTGATGAGGCCAAGTAAAAATCCATTTGCAACCTTTTAATACAGATGTTCTGGCACCAAGGACTCACAGCATCTGAGTACAGTGGTGCCCCGCAAGATGAATGCCTCGCAAGACGGAAAAACCGCTAGACGAAAGGGTTTTCCGTTTTGGAGTTGCTTCGCAGGACGAATTCCCCTATGGGCTTGCTTCGCAAGACGAAAATGTCTTGCGAGTCTTGAGATTTTATTATCGCTTTTCCCCCACTTTATCTAATCTGCTAAGCCTTTAATAGCCTTTAATAGCCTTTTAGCAGCTAATCCCCTAAGCCTTTAAGCCTTTAATAGCCGCTAAACCGCTAATAGCGCTAATAGCGCTAATCCGTCAATGGGCTTG